GTTGCAGATGAGGCTGCTACACACCTCATTAGTGCCCATGAGTACCAACATGAGAGGAAGAAGGATATGGTGGCATGCCCCACCAACCTAGTGTGCAAAGTGGCCTATTCTTTTGCGTCGGTTCTCTTCACTGCATCTGCACCTGTTATTTCCTGTGCGCAGAGGTGCAGCAAGACCAAGTAAAAAGAACAAACCTGTTGAGAGTTCTGGAAGAATGACATGAACTGATCTCTGGTTCTCATTCTTGAGATAGCATGTAGTGTGGCTCCCTGGCCTGCTGGGAGCAGGGTACACTTCTCACATGCAATGCAAATAACCCAAGCTACTCAGAGGGATTACCTGGCCACTGAGCAAATTCTCATTTAGCCCCAGCTATGCTTAGCTGCATGACTCTTAAACTAGCATCCCCTCAGACTCAGACCCTACAGAGAAAGTCATATTGGAGCCCCAGAGAGAGTCCCTTTGAACAGAGTTACCACCAGGAATCACTTCCTGTGAAAGGGTACTAGGATTAGGAGTCTAATTTCAACTGGCCTTAAAACCATAGGTGTCAAATAATATCTGGCCACACAAAGCAGATGTGCATTTCTGGCTCCCTGGGTGGTGATATACTGGGGACCTCCTTTTCCATCCTACCATATGCTCCAAAACCAGAGGATGTCATATTCTCTTCAAGCACATGGGTGGCATAAGGACAAAACCACACATCAAACCCTCAACCAGTAGCTGCACACACTTGAAATGCCAAATATAACTTGAAATCAGTTTGTTTTGACAGTCAGGTATTTCAAATTTCCCAAATGCCACCAACAATTAGGGTACAGGATGGCAAGGTTAAATGCACTTGAGTTTTTATCGCCATCCCTCTTCCCCCGTGAGCTTGAGCTCCCAGACTATTGCAGTGCAACCCGGCTCAAAAGCTGAAGATTCTGGGCCCATTTCCCCCACTCTGTTACCCCGGTTTTATGCTGGATATCGGACTGGAGTGAGGTAGTGGAGAATCAGGTGTTCTGTCCATTGATTGATCCACCATGTTCTAACTGCTGGGCACTGCCTTCTAAACAGTCCACCAGTCAGCCATTTTACAGAAGCAGGCCTATGTTTTCAAAAGGTCTCAAAAAGGCCTCCTAGACTGTGCTTACAACTAGGTGAGGTGTGGATCTACAGCATGCTACCATTGTAGTAAGATGTGACTAGGTTTGAAAATAAACTCAAATTGTGGGGGTGCCTGGGATGAGGGACAGCCTCCCACGGTGAACTGGCATACAGCCGTATCTTAATAGGGGTTTAAAGTCACCGTCATTCACCCACCCACTCATGGCTCTGAGCACAAATGAGCTTAATCTCACATCTTCTTTCCTTGTATGGTGGGCTGAACTGGAACATCTAAGTCAGTACCACTTTGGACCTGTCTAGGTGGCAAAAACCCCATGTTTCAGCAAGGTTGGGCCTCACCCACACCAGAGCAAAACCAGATTAAAGAAACTGCGTTCTGGCCTCATTTTCTTCTGCCTGGAGGAAGGTTCCATTGTAATTATCCCCCAGCTTCTCCAGAAGAACATGTTGGTAGAAAATAACAAACATAAAAGCTAAAAAATGATATTGCTCAATTGCCTTCTTTCCCTCCAAGATGGTTATGTGCTCAAGGATTAATGGATTCTACTTGAGGTTGGGGTATACATGTATAATCCAGATGTTTCTAAAGTGCTCATTTACCAAGGAAACCTCAGTTTGAGGATGTCCAACATGAAACATCCATGGCCTGATTTTCAAGTGCTGAGTGACAGCTATTCCATTTGAAGTCGACAGATGCCATAAAATCAGGGGGCAACATGCAGCTAAAAGCAGTGTCCTATCATATAGGGAGACTGTGATGATGAACACATTGAAGTGTGTGAGGTCTTGAGATAGTACAGTATTGAGAAGCCTTTTACGTACCTCAGCCAGATTAGGCAGGCAGAATGGTAGTTATCTTGTATTTTATTCTATTCTATTTCATGCTCATCACCAGTGTATCTAAGCATTTAAAAATGAGGTATACAAACTCTGAGGACCCTAGGCAACTAATGGCACTGCTCTAGTGTCCTTTGACAGTAAGAATTCAGAAGGGGGGACCACACATGGAGTGGAAGTGGAAGTTTTGCCTGTGTAAGGACTGAGTAAGAGCTGAAGTTACATCAGTTGACCCAATAGTTCACTCATCCCTGGACTGCAGTCCTCCCCACAGAGCAGGGAAGCAGCTATCTGAAACCACATGAAAACACAAACTAGCAATTTGGACAGGAGTTGAAGAAGGTTATCACAGTCAAGTACAGATGCAGGGGAGCTGTAGGTAGGCACAATAGACCATAACTGCTCACCCTGGACTTTGGCCAGCATGTCAGAATGAATTCCTCCTTTTTTAAGAAAAGATTGTTAGGGACAATATGTGGCCTGGACCTCAGATTTATATCTCCAAAGACAATGCAGCTGCAAAACATCACCTAAAGCCATCCTGGGTCAGTCCTGACATCAAGAGAATCATCAGCTGAATGAACTACCTTTCCCACCTCCTGTTGAGCCTGGATTGCCTGAAGAGTGCTGATCCAAGGACAAATTAGTTTCAGGCTTGCCTAGTTTATCTAATCCACAACTATAGCTCATGGAAATATGATGGAAGAATTACTTAGCATCACTGTTAGGTCTCTGATCAATACCCTTGACAGGATAATATTCCTACACTTCAAGTGAAGAAGTTACCAAATCCATAGTCATCAATAAGTCAGTTTCAGAGATAAATGCAGAGACTATCTATCCCTTTAATCCCCTTTCTCCTTATCACTGGGTTAGGATGAGAACTCTGTACGGAACCAGTTCATATTATGCCCCATTAGCAGTTTACTTAGGCCCAAATATATTTATGGAGCAGTGGCAGGGAAATTTTCCACAGGCCCTTAGGTAGATTACAAACACAGACAAAGGGCAGAGGGAAA